AAAAAAATAAAAAGTTAATGTAAATGCTATAAAGTTATATTCAAAAATAGCTTTAAAAATCATATTTGTTAGTATGTACTCTAGTATCCATGATGAAATTTTAATTTTCAAGCTTACCATCACACTAATACTTCTGCTCCATCTTTTACAGGAGCTAGGAGAAAGATTTAAAACAAATGAACAAAACCACAAATTTTAATTTGGCCTATCCTACTGGTTATTCTTTTGCTAAAAATATATACTTCAACAATAATTTCAAAAGCTGAAGTGAGCCTTCCATTTAAGAAGTCTTTCATGAGCGATGATACAATGTTCTAGTTGTCCACAGTAAAAAATACTGTTCTAATTTGCAAAACCTGAAAGTTCACACCTACACGTCCACTACCTCCTTGCAAGAAACTGGTATCATTTTATGGTTGAGAAAACTGAAAATCAGAAGCTAATGACTGGGGTGCCTGGGTGGCTCAGTCATTAAGCGTCTGCCTTTGGCTCGGGCATTGGGCTCCCTGCTTGGCAGGAAGCCTGCTTCTCCCTCTCCCACTCCCCCTGCTTGTGTTCCCTCTCTCGCTGTGTCTGTCAAATAAATAAATAAAATCTTAAAAAAAAAAAAAAAAGCTAACGACTTTAGAGCTAGCTGTGGGAAAATAGTTCTAAATATAGAATGTTCCTTACCATATCTCACTGTCTCACAACAAATATACTACCTGAGTATCTATAACTACTGATGTTTACTGTTTCAATCTGCAGTATTACCTCAACTCATACATAGATACATGGCTCAAAATTGAACGTAATTCTGAGCTTTTTAAATTGAAGAGTTTATCTTATTAAAGTCACTCAATATTTAAAAGTTGTACAGGAATCCTTTCTCAAATTAAAAAAAATGTACTATAGGTTTTCTATATTTACAATTTATTTTTTCGTTTTTCGCAACTGAGGGCAATTCTAAAATAATTCTTACTTGTTTCAGGACACTGATAATTCACCACTTCATATAATGGAAGATGGTTATCACTATAAAGAAAATGAAATACTTTCACTTGCTTATCAGGAGAATTCAAGGTCAGAAAAAAGCAGGCTAGAAGAAACAGTGAAGGCACACATGGAAGGCCAGACATATGTGAGGTACTTTAGTATGTGAGTTTAAATTATTTGAATCGTATCTAAGAATCAATGAACCTCCAATGTTCCTTTACAAAGTTTAAAAGAAAAGCAAATACTGTAATGAAAGTTTTAATGAGAGACTTGAGATGTTACAAAGTTTAAGAATCCCGAGAGATTTTAACTAAGAATTAAAAAACAGTGATACTTAAGCTTTTAAACAAATTTGGGAAATTATAAGAATTTGTCATTGAGAAAAAGGTAAGAATACACATTATGTGAAAAGACTGTTGGGATGGTTCCATATTTATTGTCTTACTTTTTAAAAAATATTTTATTTATTTAAGAGAGAGAATGAGATACAGAGAGCATGAGAGGGGGTAGGGTCAGAGGGAGAAGCAGACTCCCTGCTCAGCAGGGAGCCCGATGTGGGGACTCGATCCCGGGACTCCAGGATCATGACCTGAGCCGAAGGCAGTTGCTTAACCAACTGAGCCTTTTATGTATGTAGATTTAACTCCAGCTAGCAATGGACTTGAAGGTCACAGAAAATGAAACTATTTTTTGTTTCACCAAACTATATAGAACAAGCTACAAGTTCCTGATACGAGGAAATTTTGAGCAAAATGAGCACCATCATCAACCATGATTTTATACAGTAGTACACAATTACCAAAAGTTTAAACATTTAAAATATTTGATTTTGTGCATACTGGGAGATACTGAAAATATTTCTTTTTACAGGATTTCCACTTAAAAGAACAATTACCAAAGAGGTAGCTGTATTTTTAGCTGCTTTGTACGATCACATTCAACAGACATTTCTAGAAAAAAAAAATGACATCAAAATCTATTTGATTTTCTCCCTGTCCTCTGAGACTCTAATCCAAAATATTATGTTAACTCTTGATTTTCGTAAATGGTTTATCTACTTTCTAGATTCCCTTAATAACCTAGAGTCTTTTCCTTTCATTCCCCTGGCAATTTCCAGGCTCTCAAAAGGCAGTTGGAATATAATTATATTATGGTATGATGTGGGGTAAGTATGTTTCTCAATGCATATATTTGCCAAAAATAATTTTTGTACTGCCTGTTTTATGTTACCCATTGAAAAATTCTTTACCCCATCTTACTGCAAATAAGTCTTGATCAATGTATGAATTTAATCATGTACATTTTAACTTCATACATAGATACATGGCTCAAAATTGAACGTAATTCTGAGCTGATATTTAAAAACCTACTTTACATAGCTTATAAAAATTTGAGTTTATTTTTTTAAATGAAAGTTTTGTTGTCTGAGCTGTTTGGAATTTTTTTGCTTAATATATAGTAAATATGAATTAAACATATTGAAAAACATACATATCTAACTGAAATGTTCCACAATCTAAAATGCTTGTAAGAAAATTACATATATTTCTCATTGCAAAAATCGGATAACAAAACAATATAGTATAGCTCTGCAACTTCATATGTAAGTCAGCAAGGATATCCATATATTCTATTCTCCTTTCCCCCCCTCTCTTTTGTCATTTTTAAGTGCCATTAAAAGAATTATTTGGGAATTATCAATGTAATCATATTTTCAAGAGAAGTGATTTCAAAGAAAAACAAATTTTATCGTAGAGTAAAAAATACAAAGAAAGATTTCCACTATTCTTGGCTCCAGAAATGAAATTATTTTCTGAGATTTTACAGGATTTCTAGTTCTTTCCCCAATCAAGAATTTTCTACATTTGTATCTTAAAAACTAACTTAAAGAGAATGTGCTAATCTATACTGCACAAGCAAAGATGAGAAGCATAAAGAAGGGAGGGTGGGAAGAAGGTAGTTATGAAATGTATTGTCTATAAAGAACATAAACAGAGGGGCACCTGGGTGGGTCAGTCAGTTGAGCAGCTGACTCTTGATTTGGCTCAGGTCATGATCTCAGGGTTGTGAGATGGAGCCCCTTTTGGGCTCCACACTCAGCGGGGAGTCTGCTTTGGGATTCTCTCTCCCTCTGCCCTTCTCCCCACTTTTTCTAAAATAAATTAAAAAAAAAAAGGACATAAACAAAAAACTGACTAAAAGTTGGCCTGCTTTTTATTTTCACCATGCACCAGTGATAGTGTCAATTCCTCTGGGGTGGAAGGTTCTAACCTGCATACGCCCCACCCCCTGCCCCTTTGATAAGCCAATGAAAGAGACTCACCTCATCTTTTCTTATAGTCTCTTGGCTTATTTCTTATAAAATGTCCTTACCTCAATGAGATTAGTTGATGAGAAAGTGCTGTCCTTACACAGAATCAATCAATAGTTACTCATTTTCTTCATGCCCAAATCAATGCTTTGTGTGGTTTTATAGTGAGTTGCCAGGAAAGCAAGGATACATATAGGACTGCTAGAAAGAACAGACTATAAGAGAAAGCAAGATCTTTAAACAAAGTATTAAGCTGTAGCTTTTGCACACAGATTAATTAAAACTAAATTATAGGTGAAGAAAAAAGTCCTGAAAATTAGGGCTGCATTTGGGGAAATGTAAAGAAGGGCATACTTGAGTTAGATAAATAAGGAAAAAAATGCTGTATTAAATTTAAAATCAGTAATGGGCATACCACATAGTTTACAAAGCACCTTTCCATAAAATACATTTTCTCACTTGAGATCTCAACAATCCTGTGAGGCAGACACTATAACAAAGTAGGAGGTAGTATACAGAACTGAAGATAGAATATTGGCTCCACCACATAGTAATTACGTGAACTTGGGAACAGTAACTGCTTTGTACCTTGGTTTCTCCAAATGAAAATCAGTGATTATGAATGTCTCTCTACCTCATTGCTACTATGGGATTAAATGAGATACTACATATAGCAGTTTAATACACTACCTGGTCCATTTTAAGTGCTCAATAGTGCTATTACTGTTTTAATTTTACGGGTGAAGAAACATACTGGGGGAGATTAAATTCAAAGTCACATGACTACTAAGTAGAAAAGCTTAGTAGTAGAATTACAGTAGAATTCTAGACTGGCTACATTCCTACCACCCTTATTACATGAATATCTAAGTATGGATTAGCCTTTTGCACTATTTTTAGGTGTTTTTTTTGCAGCTGACAATGTCATTTGAGTTTGACAAATTCAACAGCATTATTAACATCATTTTCTATTTTAAAACACTTTGTTTAGTGGGAATAAAAGTTAACTGCAGGCATTAAAAAGAAATGGGTCTCTATGGACAACTGCGGTGGAGACTACAATCCAGGGCTGGAAGAAGTTAATTTTGGTTATTCTTTAAACCTCAGAAAAATGGAAGGTTTATTAGTAGGTAGACAGCAGAAAGCAAGCTGTGAGTGGAAGAATGCTTGTTTACAGCTCTATCTCAAGACTACAGAGGAGTGATTAGTAGGTGCACAAACGTTTAATGAATATTTAAATTAAAAAATCAACTTTGAAACACATCCTTAAGAGGATTTGCTTTACTTTGACATGCTTTCCCATCTTTAATTATACAATAACTAAAAAGTCTACCATATAGTCACCTACCCATAAAACAGGGGGGGTTTATCAAAAGATTCAGAGTAAGAAATAAAAGACTAAATAAGGCCTTAAATAGCTTTATTGAAATCTGTATAAATAAACATGCACATTTCAAATGTAAACTCAAGTGAACTCAAGTGCAGACAAAATTTTAACCTCTGTCATGCAGGAGGTTAGTTTACATTAAAAAAAAAAAGAAGAAGAAGAAAAGAAAGAAAAGAAAAGAAAAATAAAGAAAAGAAAGGAAAAAAAAAAAACCCAAAGCAGCTTTTAAAATACCAGGATGAAAAACCAGCTTTAATATCAAGGTATAAAGCAAAGCCATGATCAACATACCTCATTTATCCTGGTCAAATGCATTTTTTTCTTTTTACTTTTAAATGCTAACATAAATAAATAATTTACCAAAATGTGCACTCACAGAGTGAACTTTTATTTACAATACACAATTTATAATCTATTGTATTTGATTAGTTCAAGTGAAGAACATTATACTTTTTGCTTTAATAACAGTGGGACACAAAGCAATTTCTCAGGTAGTCGATATGTGAAATGTGCCCCAGCATTTAGATTTTCTATTAAAGGCAGTATTGTATGCCAATCGACAATACATTCTTTCAACTAGATTAAAGGGAAAAAGCAGCAAATGAAAAATGTTTCAAATGTTCACACATATTTTTGGCATCCTGGATCCTTGAATGTGGTGAACTAAAATCAAATTCAAGGTTTGTATGCTTTATATACTATACAGGTTCTGACTCTAGAACATGCAAATGCCAATTTTCTTATAACAAGTTACCTTCTGAGAAAAGCTGTAAGGCTATGGTGAATTCCATCAGGAACACACAAAGAAAGTTAACAGACCTACCTTTAAAGCCAATTGTCCATTAATGATTTAAAGGCCAGTATATGAAAAAAATTTCTCATTTAAGCTTGATGTAATTATTACTATGGATACAGAATACTATTAAGTCTGTCCTTATATTACAATAATTGGAAGAGCTAAAAGTTGCCAAATTACCAAAAAATGGGGTAGAGAAAAACAGACAGCAAAAATTTTAATTTTGGACCAACACCAGATTAAAGATATGCATTTTAAAGCAAGTCAAAAATTTTTTGAATATCTAAGGAACAGATCCCAATAGCAGTAAAAAATACTTACATTCAACTGAAAAATGATTTTAGATGGAGTGTGATATCTAGAACCTGTTTCCACAGCAGATGAACATAATATTCTGGACTTTTAATGATACTACAAAAGAAAATAACTTTTCCAAGATTGTTTCTTGTATCATGATTTGGTTTTTTAATAGGCCCATGTTGATTACCAGGAATAGATTTGAAAATTTGGTTTTCCAAGAATACTCCTGCAGTATTTATGCCACATTGATACCGCAGCTAAATATCATAGTAATATATGTGGCAGCCTAATGCACATGAACTAGATAATCCAAAAACTAAGTTCAGCCATAGTTTTCTTGCAGTATTATTAGAGCAAAATAAATGACCAACATCCACAAATTTAACATTTGTCATCAATTAACTCACATCCAAAAAATTAAAGAAAACATAATTCATCAAAACAGCAGCAAACTTAAAAGGGGTTTATTTGTGATTTCCTATATATATTTAGCTTGTAATTACAAGACTGCAAATGTATTAAGAGACAATTTCTGTTAAAGTTTTCATTGTGTTTCACTTCAAGTACTGCACAAGTTAAAATCTGATAAAGGATTTACATTCGGTTATCTGAAACTCCCCATCTCAGACTTTTGTTTAATGTGGTGGGTAACTTCAACATTTCAATAGATACCACCAGCAGGAAAGTCTCTCTTTTATGGCTTCTAGGACTTTCATTAGTTAGTGTGCATACAGTTTTCATTTTCTATATCATTGTCATTATCATTGCTATCTTCATCACTTTCTAATGGGATGCCTGCGGCAGCTGAAGCACCTTTAGTTTCTCGGTCAAGAGGAAAAAAGCCAGTTCCACTGAAAGTGTCCTGTCTCTGGTAGAAGAGTACATATGCCGCTTTGGACTGTTGAAATAAACAAAGCATGTTAAAATGGTCATGATTCTCAAAGATCACATTAAGTATACTATGAACTTTTCAGCTGTGCAATCGACTTTGGTGATAGGGCATAAATCAAATAGAAAAACCACACACGGTCAAATGGAAGTTACTAAAATTGGTTTAAATATAAGATGACTTCTATATATAAAGGAAGAATAGTCACTAGAATTAACATTTTTATTCTCTATTACGTTGAACGGATAAGTAAATACAACTATATCACAGATTAACCTAGTTACTCTAACATGAAACAATTCTATGCCTTCTTCCCTCCCATCTCTAAGGAAAAGGTAAGCTTGTTTCTAATACTAATCGCTTCACTCTAAGTTTGCTTTAGAGTCTAGCTTTTCCTACTGTCTTAAGGATATTGCTCCATTCATCATCACCATGTATCTTTAGTAAGTTCTTATCTACTGGACGTCTTGGCCTAATAAATACTCAAGTCTTTTCCCATCCTAAATCCCTCCTCGTTCTACCGCCTTCCTCTAGCTGCCAGGCTGGCAGTCGTCGAATATTCATTTTTCACTCTCATGCACACTCCTCAATTCAGTATGATCTGTTGCTCCAATCATTCTAATGAAATGCCTTTCACTAGGAGCAATAACCTGCTACAGACAAATTAAATGGGTGCTTTTTAAAGTTCTTTTAGTCAATCTCTCTGTAGCATTTACTGCTTTACTCCTCTTTCCTGCATCAAATAATTTTTGCCTTTTGTGACACTACTTTTCCTTAGATTTTCTATCTCCATGGTTGCTTCTGACTTTTCTGTGGGCTCATTAAATCCTAACCTTAAAAAAAAAAAAAAATCACGTTCTGTCCTCTGCCCACCACTCTTTCTCAATCTGTATTTTCTCACTAGGTGACTCATTTAAACCTATGGCTTCAACTGCTACCTAAGAATAACAATGCAAATTTATAACTTAAGCTAGTTCTCACTCCTGTTAGTCCCACTCCCCAGTGGAAACTTCCCCAGAGCTATCATATATATAGGTAGCTCAAATTTCAACAGCAAATTTTCTTCCTATATTTCCTATTGTGGTAAATGCTGAAGTAAGTCATCTTCAACTTCTCCCTCTTTGCATTTCTACATCTTCATTTATATCCAATCTTGATCAAGTTCTATTAATTCTATCCAGGAAATATCTTATAAATCCATTCCCCCCTTGTCTATACACTACTACCACAACTTTAAATTTAGAAGCTTGTATTGCAGAAATGACGACAACCTTCTTTCTGCTTTTCTCAGTGCCTTCCAAATTTAATAATGTTCTATTGCTTAATAATCACCGATGCTTCTCATAGTCTTTAAGAAAAGCTCTAAACCGTGAAGAATGTTGATCTGATTGCCAAGTTTACCTTCAGCCTAATTTCTGTCCCATATTCTTAACAATTACGTCCTTTCAGTAATACCAAATTATTTGCTCTTTTTCTAAATATCATGTTCTGTCATGCCTCCTTGCTTTTGTAGGTACTGTTTTCTCTGCTTAGAACACCTTTACTTCTTTTGTTTAATTACTTCCATTTGTAAAGTTGCAGACTCAGGTCAAACACCACTTTCTCATGCAAACTTCCCTCACTGGTCCTATCTCCTTAAACCCTAAATCAGTGGAGAGATGGCTGTCCTGTTTCCATGTAGTCAAGATGTCTAATAGTACTTATGATATAACTGTTAATTTACTTCTCTGTCATCTCTGGACGTTAAGCCTCTTGAAGTCAGAGATAGCTGTCTTTTAATCTTGTTTAGAATTGAGTCCTATATAAAGATAGCTGTCTTTTAATCTTGTTTAGAATTGAGTCCTATATAAAGAAGGTACTCAAATACTTGTTGACTAAATCAAGTATTATCACTGTAGGCAATTTCAGGATGTTTTGGTTGGGAGATTTGGAGAGAAGAACAGAATTGAAAAGTGATGGTTGAGACTTGAAATTAGAAGTCTAACTATAAACTGGAAATGTAATTAACTTAGGCACATACATAATTTAAAAATATTAGCATTCAAGTCTCTTTGTTTTGTGTTATAGCTACAGGGAGATAAGGAACAGTACATAATACATATACACTGTAGATAAATATATAAAATATCTGTGGAGAAACAACTCAAAATTATTTCATATCTGTTCACCCAATGATGGATTAAAACAATGCCAATAACTGGGCTCAGAAGTTTATTAATTTATTAAACTGAACAATATAAGTTGAAGACTCTTAAGGCATTACAAACTAAAGAAAAAGCTAGTCTCTGTCCTCAAAGAATATAAAATTTAAATGGGAAATATGAGCTCCATGTCCACAGGAGCAAATACTACATTTCTCACTCTTTGTACTATTGTGATCAAACAGTAAAATTTTAGAAAGGCAAACTTTAATAGAAAAATAAACCCTTATTAAGCCAAGTCTTAGCTTTTTTCTTAGAATAAACTTGTCATCCTCTCACCAATCAATATTTGATAATAAAAATATGCTCTGCTGGGAAGCAAAACAAATGCCAATATTTTGGCTCCAGCTGTGGCTGATAAACTGATGCAAATATGAATAGATACTTCCTCATTTTTTTACTATTCAGAAAATATCAAAGTAACAGATACTCAAGGTTAATTTTTTTTAAAAAATCCTCTAATTTGTTTAATCTAATCATGTAATTTTGAGTTTAAATGTTCAAATGTCATAAAGGATAAGACTTTACTTTAAAAAAATCACAGGTATGGTAAGGAAGGCCCTTAAAGATTTTTTTTTTTTTTCTATTTTAGTACTCTAATTTTAAGTAGTCAATGTCCCAAAATGTCTGAACCTATCTTCCAAAGGAAAATTTTATTATTTTCATTAGAAAAGTCCATTTTTCATGTTGAAAACTACCAGAAAAATTTTCATGATGCAATTTATGCTTCTGTTAGTGGGCAAGTTTGGAGACTAATTTCCACTTAGAGGACAACTTTACATTTCTTTAAATCAGGGAAAGTCTCTCTTAACTATTAGAAATTGCTAAAATATAGACTGTAGTGTTCCATGGGCGCTTTTAAAAAAGTGGATCCTGTGATTTTCAGGAAATAAAGACACACTTACCACAATCTGGTCTTCAGATGCAGTTGAGACACTACTGTCATCAAAGTAGTACCATTTTCCATCATCTTTATTTTTTGCAAAAGCAGTATCTAATGAAAAAATATAATCACTTCTATGACTGAAATGTCTATGGTTTCCTGGGGGGAACCCATAAAACTTTACAATCATCTATATAAGGAATACATATTAAAATTACATGACAATCATCTACGTAAGGCCTATCTATTACACATTCAACTCATTCCACTGATTAAAGGTTTTAATGTATTTCCTACAATCTAAATGCCTAAGATACTTTTCAAATATGTTGAAATCTGACTTCTTCTTCCCAAGGACAAACAGAACAGATTTATTATTTTTCAGTTCACAGAATAATACTAATGACAATAAATGGGAATTAATACTTATGTAGTGGTTATTGTGGACCAGGTATAGTGCTATGTACTTTACATGTACTATCTCATAGACAAGGTATTATTATGTCTCTAACTTTAGAAATGGGGAAAGTGAGGCATAAAGAGAAGTTTAATATGTAACAGTAAAGCTGTTAAGTGGCTGAGTTAGCATTTAAATCCAGGTCTGTCTCTGACTCTGGAGTCTGACATTTTAATAATTTAAATTTTGTACAACAAATATTTTTTTCAATAATACTATCCCATTAATTTGTAGTAGTTTTTACACCAATTTTTTTTCCAGTCTTTAACAAAAGTATTGAGCAAGAGAAAAAAAGTAATTTATCTGTACAATTTTTAAAGATTTGCTTTATCTTTAAAAGTTAAAAATGCCCCCTTTACACATTCCATGCTTCCTCTGAACTATCCAGTAACTGAGGAAACGAAGTTGCAAAATGTCTGCAAAATAATTATCTCTTGTCATAGCTTCTAAATGTTCTACCTTTCACAAAACAAAATTATTGCTCTTCTGGGTGGAGCCTATTGTGGGTTTTAAGTTTGTCAGTTGAACTGAAGACCACTGTACCCACAATTAAACATTGAATAAAAGGACAAGATCTAGCAATAAAACAGTTTATAAGAGACAAATTTAACAAAAAGGCACCCAGAGTTTGCGAACCAAGTGATACCAAAAGAAAAAATATATCAAATACTGGTAAAAGGAATAATAGAGAAAGAAGAGCTACCATTTTAAACATAAATGCAATAATGCAAAACAACCAATAAAACTGTTAGTAGAAACAGATAATTTAATACTTTAATAAGAATCCTCAGAATTCCCAGAAATATAACAAAATATAAAAATAACTAGAGATAGCAAATATCTGAATATAACTGATAATCTTCAAATGTAAGAGAAAAATAGAATTCTATGTCTGGATGGGGAATATGTCTGTTTTTCAAGCACGTAAACATTTAAGAAACTGACTGTACATGGACACTTTAATAAACTAAGGATTAATATAATATAGGCAATATCTCTAACTGTTTTGTAATAAAATTAAAATTAAGACAAAAGGAGGGCTTTATTTTTTAAAGTTTTTTAAAAGATTTTATTTATTTACTTGACAGAGAAAGACACAGTGAGAGAGGGAACACAAGCAGGGTGAGTGGGAGAGGGAGAAGCAGGTTTCCCGCTGAGTAGGGAGCCCGATGTGGGGCTTGATCCCAGGACCCTGGGATCATGACCTGACCACAGGCAGACGCTTAATGACTGAGCCACCCAGGTGCCCCAAAGGAGAGCTTTAAAAAAAAACCATACGTTTGGAAAAGTATATGATTAAGTGCCCTGGACTAATGAGAAAATCATAAAAGGAAATTAAAAACACATACAGAATTAAAAGTAGATGAAAATACTACATTAAAAAGTTTATGTAACAAAGATAAAGCAGTATTTAGAGGGAAATTTATAGCTTTAATTAAAGCCTTCAACAGAAAGAAATGTAAAAATGTAAAGCAAAAGCTAATAAAGCATTTAAATCAAAAGTTAAATAGAGCAACAGAGCAAACTCAAAGTAACATAACATAAAAGAAAAACATAACAAAGGGAAGAGAAGAAATCAATGAGAGAGAATACAGATGTAATAACAAAAAGAAAAATTTAATAAAGTGGAAGCTAATTCTTTGAACAGATTAGTAAGACAGACCTCTGGGAAAAGACTAAAAAGAAAACAGAAGAACAAAAAACAGACAAAGATATAGCATAACAGTATTAAATGTAACTATTGTTAAAGTGGAAAACACATTTTTAGAAAAATAGAAAATCCCATAATGCCTACATCTTGGGAAAAAGAAAACTGAATAGATTTCAATAAGCATGAGATAAATAGAAAAACTTATTGGGTGTGAAGCCCAGATAATTTTACAAGTGAATTCTACTAGCCTTTCATGAATAGTTAATCCCTATACTATACTACCTGCTTTAGGATACAGAAAAAGAATAAAGTATCCCAGCCTGTCTATTATTAGAGTAGACTGTAATCTTGATTCCAAAGAAAGAACAACATAAAAAATTAGAAGATCATTTCACTTATGAATGAAATTTTAACCCTAACTAAAATGAGTTAACCAAATTTAACTGGGAACTAAAAAATAATTTTTTTAATATACAAAATTATACATTAAAAAAAAAAACCTTAAAAGGTAGGCTGGGTTTATCCCAGGAATGCAAAGACAATTCAAAAGAAAAATCAAACGGTTGGCTGGAGAGTGTAGACTGGTGTTAACTGTCCTGAAGAGCCATCTGGCAGTACTTAACTCTATAATCCAGCAATCTCACTTCTGGGTATGTTGCTCAAAGAAATTCTCAGAGAGGGGACCATAAACAATGACGTTTATCAGTCTTATGGTGGTAGAAAGTTAAAGGCAATTTGGATGTCCACCATGAAGTGAGTACAGAGATAAAATATGGTAGATGTAAGTCCTGAGTGGTTAGAAGCAATGAACCAAGCGGACACAAAGTAACATGGATAAGTCTTATGCATTATGAGAAAAATGTAAGATCTATAACACAGTATACCTATTATGTAAAAATTAATAATGATGCATGATTTATAACAACACATACATCAAGTGCTTTAGGAAGGGAAAGGGGGAAGGAGAACGGAAAAGGACAGGAGTCCTGATGAGTGATGTCCCATGCATTAAACTGAGAAGTATGATCAACTCAATTCTCTATTCCTGATGTTAAAAAAAAAAAGGTTCAAAAGCTAATTCATTCACTAATCAACATTTATTGATAATTACTATATGTAAAACACATTGCACATTTTCCCTTTTTCTTTTTTAGTAGGCTCCACACCCAATGTGGGGTTCAAAGTCACAACCGCAAGATCAAGAGTCACATGTTACCAACCGAGCCAGCCAGCACCCTACCTTTTCCCTTTAAGTAATAATTATCTTAAGGAAAAAGTCTGCAGTTATCAAACATCATGATTTTAGCAAAATGGTAAACTGACAACTTACAGTGTCCTCCTCCCATCCCTCCATAGTGGTTGGAAACAGCAATCAAATTATAGCGACAAGGACCTGCATTTGGATTAATTAGGAATTCCGACATATCCAGGTCACTGTTTAACAAAGAGATCAAGTTAGTTTTACCTTTTCCCTAAATGTCATGAATTCTACTATCTTCTGTCAATGTTGCTTGATTCTCATTTATATAAAAAATATCTCTCTCACTGAAGAAACCACTAAGAGTCAAATAACTGTAAAACATATATATATAAAACATATATATACAAATAACTGTAAAACACATATGTATATGTGATACATATATATACACACACGCACACACACGGACATGCACACAAACATACACACATACCTCTGAGATTTAAATATTTTGGCAAAATTTTTCTTAGGGGTTGGAAATTTTAAAATTGTCTACTGACTGCTGTTTATCCAGATTAATGTTTTTATGCTAATACATTTAACTCTCAGTATATAGTAAAAGAGTCATCACCATTTGCCATTGGGACCCTTTTAATTTTTCATATTTTTGAAGTCATTTTTAGTAATTACGTATTTAAGGAAGAATAAATGATGGTGAAAAAAAACTTTCACAGAAATCTTATAATAATATATATATATATAAACCCCAACATTTATTCTACATTTTCCTGGTTCTGACGATATATATACCCCAAGTGGGCAACATTCTTTGAAATGCAATCAACTGTTTGTAATCTGTCATGCATGAAACTGGAATATGACCATTTTATAGCTTATCATTATTTGTTTTTTTTGGACTTGCATCATTAAAGAGCAAAATGATTCTAAATCTCAAATATATCTCTCAAAGATTCCAGCTTATCATCACTTCTGGTTCTTCTTGTACTTAAACTGTCAAAATGTTATATTCTTCCTCTTTTTTTTTTAATGCTATATTCTTGAGAAAACTTTGATGGCTCATAATTTTGTTAAGGAGAAAATTACCATTTTTTTCTGGTAAGAAACTGCAAAATGTTTTTAATTTTAACTTTATAAACACCAATCAGAAATAAGCAATCCAAAGAGTGTTTTCAATATTACATCCATTTCCTTCTAATCACACACACCTGCCTATGGCAGCTGTTACTTATTAAATGTATCAAACACCTCATACACAAATATAAAATATAAAAGAATACTATCAGTGTTCTTTTAGCAAAATGGGAGAGTACCAAGTTATTGTGTGATGCAAAATTTTGTGTGATGAAGTCCTTCCTGGACCATGTGAACAAGAATACACAATTTCAATTCTGTCCTTACGAATTCTCAAATTTAGTGAAAGTTTTTTGTTTCCTTTAAAGATTTTATTTATTTATTCATGAGACACAGAGAGAAAGAGAGAGAGAGGGGCAGAGGGAGAAGCAGGCTCCCCAAGGAGCAGGGAGCCCGATGCGGGACTCGATCCCAGGGTCCCGGGATCATGACCTGAGCTGAAGGCAGACGCTTAACCATCTGAGCCACTTAGGCTCCCAAATTTAGTGAAAGCTTTAAAAAAAAAAAAAAAAAAAAAAGGACTACAAAGATGCTGTCTCCAGACTTTTTACAAAAATGATGTAGTACTCTGAACAATGCAATAAACTGAAGTATGACACAACAGGGATGACTGATCACTGTGTCATTCTTTTAAGCAATTACATTATTCTGTTTCATATAAGTTCAGTCTTTTTTAAAAAGCATACTTAGGAATAACTGATGATTAATGATGAAATAATTCCTAGGAAAAATAAAATCACTATGATCCCACAGAATATCTAGATTTATAAACCGTGCCAATGAACCCATATAATAATGTAATACAGAATTACTTTTATTGTTACTTAAAAAGGTATATTTTCTCATTGCTCTCTGAAAAATATCTAAAAAGGAATAAAAATTCTTACTGATCCTTACAATTTTTTAGAACTACTCCCAAATACACTCAAAAACTGAAGCTGGATCCAATGCTACCTGATGTTTGTAAGAACCTACAGTTGCCCAATGTTTAAAAAGCATAATCAAAACTTACTTTATGGGAAAATCAACTAAAGTATCCAGTTTGTCTCTCATGTATCGACTGTAAGAAAATCGCTTGAGATGTACCACAAGTACTGGAGGCAGGGACCATAAATCCAGTTTCTTTGTGGCTTGCTGATGTTCTTTACAATTTGGACAATACCTAAAAATAAAGAGAAATATTTAAAGCTTGCTAGAGGTAATGAAAATAGATAAAAAAAATGCTTGTGAAGTTTTACATTTATTAAGTGGGCAAGTAATTGTGCCTAACATATACCAGACATATATATAAATATCTCTCTTCAGTAAATCAAACTGATTTAGAATATTATAAATTAGTATGTAAATAGGTATTCAAGAAATGAAGGCTAGATTATTTACATTTTAATAAGATAAAAGAACACAAAACTACGCTGAGATATAAGTATTAGAAAATCTCAAAACTTCTGGGCTCTAATGGAATTAATAACACCACAAAACATGATTTTCCTAAAAATGTTTCTATCAAAACAGCTGCACAGCAAAAAATTCTTGGGAAAAGTAACTAAAATTATCCATAGTAAAATGGCTACTATAGAAAATACAGTAATGAGATTAAAGCTTAACATTATAATAATACTTTTAAACATTTGAATCACTTTTTTTTTTAAAGATTTTTAATTTATTTATTTGACAGAGAGATAGTGAGAGCAGGAACACAAGCAGGGGGAGTGGGAGAGGGAGAAGCAGGCCTCCCGCCGAGCAGGGAGCTCGATGCGCAACCCGATCCCAGGACCTTGGGATCATGACCTGAGCCGAAGGCAGATGCTCAATGACTGAGCCACCCAGGCGCCCTGAATCACTTTTCTTTTTAAAGACTTTATTTATTTCTTTGAGAGAGAGAGAGAGACAGAGATAGCAACAGAGATGAGAGCACAAGCAGGGAGGAGAGGAAGAAGCAGGCTCCTGGCTGAGCAGGGAGCCTGATGCAGGGCTCAATCCCAGGACCCTGGGATTGTGAGCTGGGCCAAAGGCAGATGCTTAACCAACTGACCACCCAGGCGCCCCTTGAACCACTTTTAACAGACTCTTATCATTTAAAGAAATGCTTATTATTTAAAATACCAAAAGGAATTTAGTTACTGCTTTTTAAGCTTGATGTATCACATACCTCAGTATTAAATCCTTAAAAAATAATTAGAAGTAATTTTTTAACTTTGTCTCTTACCAGGGATCTTCAGCACCTAGCTTTTCTTTTGTTGTAAAAAGCTCAATGCAATCTTTTAATTTCACAAAGGGTTTTTTAGGAGGTTTATATTCCACACTTTCATGTTTTTCAAAATCCTAAAGAGAAGTATTTCTTGAGTTAAGAGAACAAATGAAACAAAACTCATTTTAGTGATACCATCTTACTATAAATAAGTAATGAAAAACTCCTACTTTTCTCAAAAGAATTATAAAGCTTATTTCAGCTGAGATTTACACCACACTTCTAAAAAACTTCTATATACACACCTACATGGATGATTAAAACTGTTAACAGGAAGCATGTTTGTAAACCAACAAGGCTTTTCTAGTACATAACCATTTTTCTACTAGCAAAATAAACATATTTGGTAGAGAAGCAAAAGAGTGTAATAAATTGTGATCAACATGGAAAGATATGGAATGAGTGATGACTTACCTCAGCGGCATTTTCATCAAAATATCTTTTTTTCAAATCAGGATCCCAATCCAAAGCAAGAAAAGATCTTTCTAAGATGGAAAACATATTTTTTCTTTAAAACTTAATATGCCTTCATTAAAATGAGTACATTTTAATGTTAAGATATATACTAGAATAAACAATCTTTTCCACTTGTACTAGGTAATCAGGGTAAATTGCTGTTTCCAAGTCATTAAAAATTTAAGGAGTTAAAAAAAAGATACAAAACTTAAGCATAAGTCTAACCTCCATTTAATAAGCAGTGATGTGTTTTAGTATACTTAGAAATTAAGACTTTTCATTTAAGATATACATATAGATTTTATATAGGTAAGTGAATATTATTTTTCATGACTGCTGAATTTGTTTTTTGTTTTGTTTTAAAGATTTATTTATTTATTTGAAAGAGAGAGACAGCAACAGAGGGAACACAACCAGGGGGTAGCAGGAGAGGGAGAAGCAGGCTCCCGGCTGAGCAGAGAGCCCGATGCGGGGCTCGATCCCAGGACCCTGGGACCATGACTTGAGCCAAAGGCAGACATTTAACGACCGAGCCACCCAGGCGCCCCTGATTTCACAGTTTTCACCTAAAATAACATGCTTTGCTCAAGTTCAATGTGTAAGCCAGTTTTCACACTTACCATCTAGCCTAAGCTGCCTCTCGTCAAATCTTATATGCCTGGTATCATCTTTGATGTAGTTGATATCAGTATTGCCTAAATTGTTGAACTGGAATGTAAACAATCTTTTTTTGTGTCCCGTGAGTTGACCTTTACAAGTTTCCTCAGTACATAATCCATTTTCAGAATCATTATCTCCTCCAACTGAATCTTCAGACTGACTGTTTTCATTCTCAGAGGGAAGTTCTTGATCCTGGCTGGATTCATCATCTGGCTCATCTGTTTCCATTTCACCTAATTTTAGATATTAGAAGTCTTTTAAATAAACCCAATGCTACATTTAAAAGTTATTAATCTTAACATTATTTTTCCCAGGCTTGAAGAGATTTTTTAGTTCCTTAATCCCCATCTTCTTTTTTTCTGAGGCAATAATCCAAGTGAAAGGTTTTGTAATTTAAGAGGAAAGTCTTACTTGGTGAGCCTTCTTCATGTATGCCATTTGGGCCATTCCCATTAATATTTTGGTCCTTACAGCAGTGTAGGGATCCTTCAGTTTCTTCAGTTTCAGTAGATATTTTGACATATCGGCTTAAATAAAATCAGAAATCAAACAAATTTAGTTCTATGAAGGTAAAAACTTAAAAAAAAAGTTTTCCATTCTTTCAGTAAAACAAAACTTTTTAATGGAGTAATAGTGGTCATTTAGTTGAAGGATAAATTAAACTCGAAATAGTACCATAAATGCAAGTGACTAATCATTTCTGTTTTAGTTGTCTTTATAAAAAGAAAGAAGGTGATTTGTTACTTCTAGGGTTTTAACATCTTTCTATGTTAAAAGTTAGTGGCAAATAATTTGACTTAAAGTTATTATATAAATATTCTCATTTAGATGATATATGTATTATTACTAAGATCACTTATAACTGTATAATGTGATCTTTATGTATAGGCTATGGGACTATAATTATTAAAATGCGTATGTAAGAAAGAATACTAAATATGTCAGTTACAAAGCATAAAATAAAAGGGATCAAATGGCAGTTTTGATTATATTATAATTCAAATCAAGGTTTTAGGATGACAAAAAAGGGGTTGGCTTAAAATACTATCAACCATGAAAGTTTATCCTTTTAAATAAAACCATTATAGGAGGAGTTCTTGAACTTGCTAGCAAGGTGTATAAATAAATAAAGCACCTGAAATTTCTTGTAATTTCAGAGTGCATACGTGACAAATTCCTATTTTCTTCCAATTGTAAACTTCTGGTTTAAAATAGCTAAAAGAATTCATATGTTCTGGGTTTGCAGTTACCTCAGTAATGTGTTTAACATGATCAAGAAACTCAAACTATAATTTGATTTTGTAAATTGCTATCTGTTTAAACAAAGTTGAGATAGTACACGCTTATCATATTCTGATAGTATACTGCACATTTATTTTTATTAACTATTCTATCATTCCTTTTGTTAATGTAGAATTGTCTGACACTTACCACATTCTCAAAAGCAGGAGATTATAGAGTTTATCTTCAGTATTATTTCGTGGTACAGCCATAAGAAAAGGCTGACCAAAAAGTGAAGAACCAGTATGGTGGGTATAACTTGAGTGTCTAAATTTTTCTCTTAGGCAAACAGGAATAATCACATGCTCTGTATCTTCTGTCCTATTGATGTTAATTTCAAACCTATAAGGACAAAACTGACCATAAACTCTGAAAACTTTTATGTTATTTCTTCTGAAATTTTTCCCAAGTAATATTTTGCACAATGAATTTTATACTTACACATAAATATCATCCCGTTCCATAATACTACTAAGGTTTTCATCCATAGCGAATATTCTGTGAAATCTATGATTGTATATGTCAGTAACTATCATCTAAAAGGAAATAAATTTCTATTAAGCTGGTTTTACATCACTGAAAAACTAAACTCCCAACTTACATACTTCAAACCCAGAAACACCTTACCTTATCTGCAGGTACTCCTGACAAAGCAGACAATGCTGTACAAAGATCAAGTATGTTTCCAATTTTGGGAACAACCACTTTGTACTAAAAAACAAAAAAATTGTAATGCATTTATTACTTTGGAAAAAACACTCAGTAGATGAAACTGAACTCTTGGTTGCTTCCTCACATTCACTTGGTATTTGGTTTACAGTGTCCTTCTCCAATCCTACTATCATCCTGGCTGACAATGTCTATATGGATAATTTATCTCAGCCTAATTGTTCCTTGGCTCTTTGATTCAAAGACCTACATTTACATTCAACTGTAGTTCACTTCTTGCATCTTGTCATAAACTTGCTCCACCTCTGATATCTTAAAACTCTTATCAGGCTACTGACTAACCACTAATTACTTTTCCTGGAATCTCATTTTTTCCCATTCTTGGCTTACATTTAGAGCTCTAGTCCTTTTAATTTTCAATTTTCTCGTGGTTTACCAACTTCCTACCGTCTTCATGCCCTTCCCTCCAGATCCCACATGATTCATCACTTCAACTACTGCACTGCAAAACCTTTAACTATTTTGTTATTCAATTTTATTCTTGCTATACTTTCTTAGAGCTGTTCAGATACGCTGGAGAAAACTGACCAACTTCAGAGACTGGTTTGCTACAAATTCACAGTGCCCAAGTCTTAACCAATTGTTCAAAACTAGCCAGAAATTCTGTGCATCCCTTATTTGCTTCTTCCTTCATTTCTCTCTCAATAACTATATAAAATCTTCACCATTCCTTAGGTTTCCTATCTCACCACCTCTCCCTTCACTATCCGCAAAATACACGGGGGGGGGGGGTGGAGGGGGGGGGGGATGGGGAGGAGAGGCTACTGGATAGGAAATCTCCAACTTTGTGTCCTCTAACAAACTTCTAAAAGATCCTTTTCTCCAGCTCTTTCTACACATGGAAAGAGAATCAGTTGTCACCCTTCCCATCTAAGGCTAACCCTAGCATCTCTGCTCTGAATCCTATCCTGTTCTATTTCCTTGGGAACCAGCAATCATCCTTTATTCCATTTTGTCCTGATTCTTACATAAGCAAAGGAATAATTTACAAGCCTCTCAAAAAAAAACAAAAAAAAAAAGAAACCAGTCTTTCATTGCTTTCCCTCTATCTCCCTTTCTCCTCTGCTTTATAAATAACCTTGTTAAAAGTAATGTCCACACTATTTTAACTTCCTCACTTCCCATTCACCCCTGGCTTTTGTCCTCATCTCTTTATTTAACCAGTTACCAAGATTGTCAAATTCCTTTAGAATATTACCCTTGACCTTTTCTTTAAGATTTTATTTATTTGTCAGAGAGAGAGAGAGCACAAGCAAGGGGAGCGGCAGACGGAGGGAAAAGCAGGCTCCTTGTTGAGCAAGGAGCCCAATGCGGGGCTCGATCCCAGGACCATGGGATCATGACCTGAGCAGAAGGCAGATGATTAATGGCTTAACTGACTAAGCCACCCAGGTGCCGCTTATAAGGAGATGCCAGAGAGCTTATGTGCATACAGATGCGCTCTCTCACTCTGCTCTGTCTCTAAACACAGTGAGGACAAGGTTGTCTGTAAGCCAGGAGTCTGCACTAGATACCAATCATTCTGATGCTCTTGATCTTAGACTTCCAGCCTCCAGAACTGTGAGAAAATAAATTTCTGTTGTTAAAGCCACTCAGTTTATGACATTTTGTTATGCCAGGCCTGAGCAGACTAATATAACTACTATGCTCTAAGAAACTGCACTATCTGGCTGGAACTCTAAGCTAAAGATCTTCAGTAAACAGTGCTCTAAAGCAGGAGCCATGTCTGCTCTGTTTGCCAAACAGCTTTAGACTCTCATGAGGTGCCCAACACATATATCAATGAATATAATTTTTTAATATTTCTGCATTAGTAGTAGTACAAGTCATGGGGGTTGGAAATACAAAGATTTACAAAGTCCCTATCCTCAAAGAACTCATGGTCTAGTGGAGAGAAGGTAAGTAAACCAAAGGTCATAATAAAATTTAGTAAGTGCGATAATAGAATTGAACTGAAGGTCGAAGAGAAAGAACTACTTTTGTTAGGGTGGTTCAAGTGTCAGGAAAGGATTAATTGACAAATGAAGGGAGAAAATATAATGCTTTGCTTAGAACATTAGTGAAGCAAGTATTGATAGCAGAACTAAATTTCTATTTCTCTTCCAAGTTCTTAAGATGCCTAAAAGTTATAGGTATTTAAGTATACCATTATCAAATCATGAATCAAAATGTATGGTATTAGTTTTCCTTCCAACAGCCACTAGAAAAAAAATAACATTAAAAGTTCAAGTTGGAAAACAGGAAAAATAATGTTATTAATCTTTGTTAAGCTGATATTTATCCTAACATTGTAAAATTGAACCTCTCATTTTTCTTTCATAAGAAAAAGCCTTTGAGAATTTTGTTTTTACAAATAATGATACTTTACACATCCCTCATCTTTTCAAGACTCTAAAAAGTTGTACTAATTTCCAAAGTATTTAGCTTATAAAATCTCCTACACAAATAAACTTACTACTGAATTGTGCTTGAGACACAAGGTCTCAATACTAACTTTTTATAAAAGAAACAAATGCAAAGAAAATAATCATGACTTACCTGCATAGGTTTGGTAAGTGGATCCATTCTAACTAAATATACTTCCAAGGTGCGTTCTTTTTTCATGGGCAATGGAAGTGTCAAGTAACAAAAAGGATCAAATGTTACAGAAATCTTAGCACATTCAGGACAAACTAAAGTTGATTTGAAAAGGCCGTGAAATATATCTACTATGATAGAATCATTTCTTTTTAAATGGTTTTCCCAGGCTTCTTCAGCAACTATCTGTAAGAAAAACAGACACATATTACACAGAGATATCACACTATTATAACAGTGGTGACAATAATATCATTAAATTTACCTTATCTGGCCTTCCATCCGCATCTTTTAATTGTATATATGGTTTTTTCCTAATTCTATTCAAATCCTCATGTAATCCATCTAACAGGAAAGCTAATAGCTCTTGACAGTCCTGCTGCTGGTATCCAGAGAACTGAGGTGCAAAACGTCCTACTTGTGTCTGTAAGAAAAGCAAAACTATAAAATCAGTTATAGGGACAAGACTGATTTAGAAAAAAATTGATTCTCATTATTCACGGATTTCATATTTTGTGAATTCACCAACTGCTAACATTTATTTGTAACCCCCAAATCAACTTGTGGCACTTTTGCAGTCATTTGCAGATATGGTAATTACATATACATAAATACAAATAGATAATTACATATCCAAAAACATTTTTTAAATAACTGATCTGTAATATAGAAAAGACCTGAGGAAAGAAAAAGGAGAAAATATGGTGAAGTTTTGTACAAAGGATTTGGAAATATAAAATTCAATTATATTTTTTGGGTCACTAGAAAAAATTACAAAGCTCTCATTTAGTTTCTGTGTGTAAAAAGAAGATAAATCTCAGAGATAACAAGAATGTTTGTGTTCATATATAATCTTCCTAGTCTTTGCAGTACTTTTTTTTATAAAACTGAAAAGAAATGTGAAAGAAAAAGATATCAAGAGACTGTTTCCATATAATTTTAAGATAGTATCTAGTAAAATAAAACTAATTGGAATCATGGGTAAGGGTTGAGAAATAGTTTGTCTAAATTAGCTTGTCCAAAGCTTAGAAAGTTAAAGAAGATAAATGCAGTAGTGTTTTTGATTTGTTTTTTATTTTTTAAGAACTAGTATATAGTTAATAAAATGTTGCCTAGATGTCCTATATGAGTATCATTTAAGTTGTCTGTGTTAAAAAATAGCTGAAAACTGCTTATTCTCTTTAAAACAGAACTCACCTGTAATAAATAGGAAAACTTTATCCCCCTGCTCTCTCAGTGTCAAATAAGTAAAAATCTTTTAAAAAAATAGGAAAACTTTTTTAACTATATAAAACTAAATTTCAGCTCAATTCTTATTTGAATGACAAACTAAATTACTTGAGGTTTTATTGGTTCTAAGAGGTAACCATATAAGAATAAGAATAAACTTAAGTTTATTCACAATAATAAATAAGAATAAAAATAAACTTAAAGGCTTAAGGATTATATTGAAAATATTTAATTAATATGTAGTGCTGGTTTTGCAGACTAGTTTCATTTCAATAACTTTTCAAACTTACAATGACTCTCAAAATAAACTGAGTTTCTTAGACTTCAATGACATGCCCAAATTTAGCCTTTACATTTTTTTTTTTTAAGATTTTATTTATTTATTTGACAGAGAGACAGCGAGAGAGGGAACACAAGCAGGGGGAGTGGGAGAGGGAGAAGCAGGCTTCTCGCCGAGCAGGGAGCCCAATGCGGGGCTCGATCCCAGGACCCTGGGATTACGACCTGAGATGAAGGCAGACGCTTAATGACTGAGCCACCCAGGCGCCCCAGCCTTTACATTTGTAACAAAAATTTATGTAGGTTTCTCAGATATGTACTGTATTCTAAAGCAACCTGCATATGCTCTGCTATCTCTTGTCATTTGTACCATAACAGTGTTTTCCAATATTTCATTATTTCCCTCCCCATCCCCCAGAACCTTTTTGGACATTTTAAAGTAATTATCTGTCCCATCCCCCACCCAAGAAATTTAACAGCACAGACACACTGTGTATCTATTTGTGTTGGGTCCCTATGGAGGACCACAAATCAATTTAACAGCTATGATTTTTTTTCACTCCTTCCCCAAAGGGGTGTCCTCTTGGGGATGATATAGCCCTTATTGAAAATGTATTTACTGTACTAACCTTAAAGGCTCTTGGTGTGACATAGCTAAATTTTCCAGACCACATTTGTTTGATCAATTCAGCGTAAGATTTAGCTATTTCACCTCTCATTCCTAAGGGATTGTCAAAATTCAGTTCTTCTTGATACTTATCATTGAGGAAATATTCAGTAAGTGGAGGTGTGTTGCTCAAACACTGCAAAGAATAAAACACATTTTCAAGTAAAAGTAACCACACATTAAACATGTTAAAATGGAGAAACAAACTGACTTGCCATAATATACAGAGAAAAATTTAAATGATGGCCTCTTGAACTAGTAAATAAGTAACTGGTTAAATAAACACTCAAATGATACACTCAACTATTCATTTCCCAAATTTCAAATCAATTACTTATAATAAATGAAAATGCTAATATTTGTTGCTGTAAAATCTGCATTAATTTTAACCACAGCAAACTACCTGTTAACTGGGAGAGAAGCTCAGAGTTTTCTTTCCTTCTTTTACTTGATTGGTAGAAATTATGGATTGTCTACTCATCCCAGGCACCTGCAAATTAGCCTGAGTAGGTAAAAACTGAGATAGAGTGCAAGCAAGAAATTAACTTTAAAGAGGTATTTACTGCTTCCATTGTCAATTCCTTATCATGAAAGGGCAGCCTTTACGTTTTCCATTTGGTCACCCATTTTTAGAAGGGACAGTACAGTTTAGCTGAGCCTGAGGAAACCAACTTTTGTTATGTGAACTCTGGTAAGTGTGTTCTTAAATCATCAAGTTTTTCAATACTATAACAATCCAATTTTCCTTTATGGCAAGATTAAAACTATGAATAAGTTCATTCTCCATCTCTTTTTCCATTTAGAATTAAATAATTTAGGATTTAAAATAAAATAGATGGCAGAAGTATAGTTTTTCCACAATATTTTATCTCAAGATGAATAATTTTAAGTTGATAATACCATACAATTTGACTTAATTATAAACCCAATATTACTTTATCAATTAGATGTCTATAATCATCAAATAGAATATGTAGTGACTGACAGACATATGGTCATATAGGTCACTTTCTTTTGCTGCAGGAAGACATTTGTCTTGGGAGTCAACTGGCAAAGTACTTAAGTGAAGGTAGTTGCTTGCATGTAAAGGATTCAAAAATCATTCTTATGAGAGCTTGGATTTATATGAATGAAAATCAAGGTTTTTCAAAGCTTGCTTACCACTCATTTGGATTAATAGTCTGGGATTAAAGTCTTGGTAGGTATGAAAAGTTCAGCCTCGTGGGTTCATGCCAGTAACTTGGGTACCATAAACTATGTCTATATACCATGTACTGTTTGGCTAAAATTTCAAAATTAGGCATATTAGATTTTTCAAAATAAATTATAAAGTTCTATTCTGTGGTTTCAAATATGTTATGTTTACTCAAGTAACTATAATATCTATTTTGGTATTTTCAATGGAATAAAAATAATACAGCTCAAATTGGTAATCTGGCCCCAATCATTAGGCAAAAAGGGAGAACTATTTATAATATGGAATTTGTTATTATATAATTCTTAGGCAATGAAAGCAATATAAAAACAGTTAAAAGTGTTTGGGGTAGACTATATAGACCTTAGCGTAATTTTCAAGCCATTTTCAGCAGTAACAAATTTTACATGAGCAACAAGAAGACAGAGGTAGGTTACAGTGTAGGAGGCAATTTGGGAAAGGATACTTTCCTACTTCTGAACTCCTTTTATACCTCAACCTTTCATAATCTTACACACCTTTTGAGATTCATTCTCTTTTCCTTTTGCATTATATGTTCTTTTAGTTATAAATGCAGGACTAGAGGTAGGGTCAGGCAACCCACCATAGCTACATTAAATGCCATTACTTAGCAGTATCATCTGATTTAGTACAAATAGGATCAACACTATATAGTCAATGAGGCAAAGAGGAGGCAGTCTGACAGCATTTCCAACAATTAGTTTTCAAATCCTTGTATTTTTTTTCAAATCCCTGTATTTGATCAGTTCAGGGTTATACTAAGAATATGATATTCCACTACTGTCTGTAACAGCATTATACAAAGAACCTAATTTATGGTTTTACCAAACTAAGAATTAAGTAGGACAAACACAAATAATTTTTGAAAGTTTTCACTTAATTTTTTACATGTATCCTTATCTTACAAAGAGCTTCCAAATATAACTGAAAATCCTTTTCCAGTAGCATCCAGAGTGATCTTTGTAAAATTTTTATCTAATTATGTCACTTCCTTGCTATAAATCCTTTAATAGCAATTTCAGATTAAAATCTCAAATTTTTAAAGAATCTGTCTTTTGCTACCTAGGTAGCCTATGTTGTGCTCATACCTTTATTTGACTCCATCCTAGCCTCATTTAATTACTTGTGGTTCCTTGACCTCCATGCAATCTCTCACTCTAAATTTTCAGTATCACTCCATCTATGTGAGATATACCTTCTTTGTCCTACTAACTTCTACTAAACCATCAAGATTCAGGATTCCTAGATTTCCTTATAGTGTTTCCTCCTGTATGTTTCCATATTGCATAATGCTCACTTTTATTACAGCACTTATTTTATAATACACTGTAACTTTAATTTTTAGTTTGTCTTGCTAAATGGACTGAGACTTTCATGAGAGCAGGAACCATAATATCAATTATATATATATCTCCAGCACTCAGCATGTACGCATGATTAATAAAACATGTTTTTGCCTATATTAACAAATGTTTTTATCCTCTTGGTTTTTTACTCTTATCCTTCAAATGTTTGGCACAGAGTACTTAAATTTTTCTTGAATGAACTATTACTAAATGAGGCAAAAATATATTAGCTGGTAATGAATAATCTCAAAAGTTTCTTCAAGCACTTTTACTTGAATACTAAGCCAAAGAAGGACAGAACCTATTAAAACTTTCCCATGCTTTTGTGCAACTCTTAGTCTCGGGAGTCCTGAGTTTAAGCCCCACATTGGGTGTAGAGTTTGCTTAAAATAAATAAATAACTTAAAAAAAAACCCCACAACCTTCCCATGGTTTTGTTTAACTTTCATTCAATCCACTACCTGCTTTGTAGTGGGTCTCTGCTTGGATTTTTTTAAGTCCTTGACACAGAGACCAGTGAATATTTTCAAAGTGACACATGTGATTTTGAAGTTGACTATAATTCAACATTACAAACTAAATAACAAAAATACACATATAGTTTTAATGATAAGTGCTTATATTACGAGTCAAGGTATCATAACCAATATATTTTGAGATAACCCTTAAATTTAAACCATTAAGTCCTAAATGGCCCAAAAAAGCATTCTATTTGTTAAACACAATTTTTTAAAAACATAAGTATAGTTGACACACAATGTTACATTAGTTTCAGGTGTACACCAGAACATAATGTTTTAAGAAACTCACAAGCTGCATTTTTTAAAAATTTATACCAACACATATAAGTACAGAAATTTAATAGACAGCTTAAGTGTTCTACTAATGCACGTATCATAAGAGTTTAAAAACTGACACTGATGTCAGACTTTTCTTTCTCATATGGAAAATATCTTTTCTCCCTGACCTTGAAAATATTCTTGAAATAGTATAAAGACCACTTAAAATAATAAAAGTTCTCTTATAATTTTTAGTACAAATTTCAAGCTATAATTAGAATACAGGTCAAACAAACAAAATATTTCCACACGTCAAATGTTATCAGTATTCAATGCCATCACTGTGGCAGAAGGTCGTTTCTTAAAATTGGTCATAATGCAGTTTGAGTTATAATTTATGCAACTTATTCTATCTTTTAACATGAGGCTGTCCTAGAAACATGAACATCTTTGACAACTACAAGAAAACTGGGCACTTGGACTGGTTGCCATTAAATACAATGTTTTAAAGAATAAATATTTTGGCTGGTTCAATAATAAAAACAACCATAACCATAGTTCTGAAACATCTCTCTCAAAGATTCCTCTACTATAACAAACATCACTTTTCTATCTGATGGGGGCTGTCCCAAAACAATTCTTTTAAGACATATACATATTAAAAGCCCTACATATGTAGACATAGGGAATTTCCTTTTCAGCCTGTAAGATACTTTACTACGGAGTGACATAATATGGACCTGTAATCACACAACATGTGTTGTGTGCCTACGTGGATGTATTTCTCACTGTCAATGATTCTTGAACTATAAAACAGAACAAAACTCATCCTAACATACATGGTTTTTCCTAGTAAAATCTGAGAACATAGATATAAGTCTATCAGAAAAACAAAAGGGATTACATAAATAGTATTAGTATGTTATTTTTGTGGCTACTTATGAGTTTTGTGACATTCTACCAGTCACATGCCATTTTGAGCTTTAATTGATTTCAACTCCCTGCCATTGACAAACCAACACTTCAGTATTTCAAGGAGAACTACCTCTTACAACTCATCACAAAAAAAAAAATGAAGTCCAAATATGAGGTAATGTGACTGATCATAAGACACGAACCACGTATCTTAAGCCACATTTTGTTTATAACATAATGGTGCCTATAGTTGTTCCTAAAATTGGGTAGAATTTTGTCAAATACCATGTTAAAAGTAAAACAATAATCAGAATGAAGAAAAGGATTCTGTACCAGTAGTTTCAGTTCTTAATGTAAAAGAGAGTAAGTAAAAATTTACAATAATGAACAAGCAAAAATGCACTTGTTAACAAGGCTAAATATTTCTATGATTCTTAGGCAAGTTAATAATGTGTGAAATTGACAAGAGCAACTGAAGATCTAAGGATTAAAATACTAAATTTCATATTTAGTATATATTAATTTTGGCATTCATTAGTTTATTAGCCTTCATGATAAAATGACCAGTTGGTTAACTGGAAGGTTCAGGATATAAGCAAGTATGAAAAATTGTTGATCCATGAGGAATGAGAATGCCTGGGTACGTGCGAGTCAATTATTTTGTAAGCAGACGTGACTGCCAAGCATCTGTTCCTGAAAGTGGCTCTGTGGTTCTCTACTTGTGCTTACATATGCATTTAAAATGGAAACTCCAAATAATAAAGAACATTCTTGAACGTGAATTTGAATTAGGAGTCTTAAGACATATTTAGCCCTTAGTTTAATGTATTACGACTGAACCTTAGCTTGTACTCCTTCTCCCTTTCTTAGAATATTCTTC